ATATTATATCGGATAGAGGAATTCAATTTGTATCAAGATTTTGGAGAACCTTATTCAAGATTCTAAAAGTGAATATAAAGCTTTTTTTTAACTTTTGATCCTTAAACTAATGGGCAAATAGAATGGATGAATGAAATTTTAGAATAGTATTTGAGATCTACTATCAACTATCATTAAGATGATTAGACGACTCTTTTGACATTGGTAAAGTTTGCATACAATAATTCAGTATATTTTTTTATTCAATAAATATATTTCTTTGTTAATTATGGTTATTATCCATGACTTGATACTTTTGATTTTTCAAAAGTTGATAATCTTGCGGCACAAGATTTAGCAAATCATTTGTCAGAGCTACATGCAACAATGAAGATACAATTAAGAGATGCTCAAGGATGACAAAAGATCAACATGGATGCATATCGCAAGGAACAATCATAATTCAACATAGGTGACAAGGTATGGTTACTTCATCGTAATATCAAGACTACTTATCCTTGTGATAAGTTGGACTATCGTAGGTTGGGAGTTTTTTCTATTTGTGAAGAAATCAATCTTGTTGCTTATCAATTATATCTACTAAATTCTATGAAGATCCACCCTTTATTTCACGTGTCCTTTCTTGAGCCGTATAAGACAATGAATATTTTGGAAAGAAGACAAATGCCACCTCCTACTATAGAAGTAGATAATAATCAAGAATTTAAGGTGAAAGAAGTCTTAGATTTAAGGTGGTGCCAAAATAGGTTGGAATATCTTGTTCATTGGGGCGGATATGATATTAGTGAATGCACATGGGAGCCATCAAAGAATCTTACAAATGCAACGAAGAAAGTTGAAGCTTTTCATCAATAAAATCCATCAAAACCAAGATAAAGAATAGCAAATCTTCGCTATACAAGAAACAAGAACAAAAGAAGATAACATTCTATCTTCCATCTTTCTTTGTAACTTGATTATATTTGTGAAGCTAAGTAGATGGAGAACCAACAACTAGTAGATTCAATTCAAGACTTTTATTTGTGGATTTACTAGCTGAGACATTGCGATTGTAACAACCTTTAAGGCGACAGAATCAAGATGAAGATCGTTATGAATGACATGTTCTTTCTCAAATAGATGGAAAGATTCAACATGTTTGGTATCACGACCTTTGAAGAGATTCCTGCTCTTTGGTGATTTTATTAGAGGTAAGAACAATTCCTTACAATGTTTCAAATGTTTTATTTGAAAGAAGTTACGAAGGCGTCAACAACGACCAAATAACAGGATGGTCTTCTTATCTTGATATGGGATACTATCAATGGTTGAAAAGGCCTATCAATCATCTTCAAAGACATCAAAGATCGAAATATGTTACAAATATAATTCGCCACATCTTAAATTTTTTCAATATATGAAGTCCGCTCCTCGTGGAACTCGTCCCTAGAAAGGAGGGTAATGTCATGGACATATAAATTTACTTCAATAATTACTTATATGATTAGGTAGAAGTAGGTAAATATAGATTAATTTCATAAAGTCTTTTAGTGAAGCTTTTTAGAAGCTTTATAGACATGATTTTGACTTTAGATATATTTGTAGGTTAGAAACTTGGCCAACAAGTTAACCACATGTTGGTAGCTTGTGGAACAAGTTAGCTCCATATAGTAGTTTGTAGAATAAGGTAATCATATGGTGTATATATATATATATATATATATATATATATATATATATATATGTAACTTGCCTTGCAAGTTATGACATGTGGCTAGCAAAGTCAATATATTTTGGAGGTCCTATAAGATATTACTACAAAACTCCTAGTTAAGAGTATATATGGAGGTAAGAATAAAGTCTTCTTCACTCTTGGTAATGCCGTTTTAGTCCTTAGTCTTGTTTCAAGACCTTCTAGTCTTCTTATTTTTGACAATAGCCATTCTAGTTAATATTACATTATATTTTGAGTGACTTTTTAGTTCTCTTCAGTGACACAAGAGTGTATCAAGTATTCTCTTTTTTTGAGATTCATGTCTTTGATATAAGCAAACAGTAACTAAGTTTCATAAAATTGCTACAACTTGTGCCACTCAACTTCTTGAAGTGGTTCATTCAGATCTAAGTGGTTGTGTCACACCACCAACTTTTTTAAAAACATCTTGGAATTCTTGATATTGGCTAAGAATATCACTTGATATTTTTTCACCTTTAGAAATAAGCATAGCAAATATAGCAAAAGATGATCTTTCTTTTTAAGCATGCATGAAAGCTCTTGCACCTACCAGTAAAGATTTGGAAGTATTAGACTTTTATACTTCTACTTCACTAACTCAATCTTGGATTATACTATCAAAAAAGTTAAAGTTATGAAAAATCTGATCTATTTGAAAATTATATTTTTCTAGCCTCGATAATCCTAAAATAATTAGATTGGAAGAAGATCTTATTACATGAAATACTACTATACTTTTATGATCTTTAATTGTTATATCTAAAGGAACAATTTTATAAGTAACATTTCCAAAAGACAACAAATGACCATCTATGATTTCTACATGTATGGATTTAGTTTTTTTGACTAAAGATATTTTTTGATTTTTGACAAAAGCTTTGTCTATAAAACAGGCTGAGGCTCTTGAATCTAATAAAATAAGGTTAATGTGATTTTTTGGTCATAAATGCACATCTATTGTAAAACAAGGTGGAGGGACTGAGGAGAGAATAAGACCTTTACTAGGTATTGTATATGATTCCAACCGAACGGCCTCTATTATAGTTGAAAAAATTCGTTTTCCAATACACTATCTTCTTTGGTAATTGTGCTCCTCATTTTGTAATTGCGTTGCTTCTTTGGACAATATTGAGAAGTGTACTTAGCTTCTCCACAGTATAAACACAAACCTTCTTGACAACGTCGAGTCTTTTTCTGCTCTGATAGAGATTTAAAATGTATCGTATCAATTTGTATTGGTTTCAACTTTGATGAATAGGTTTCAAAAAACTTAGAAGCTGCCACCATTACTTGACTTGTTCTTCTCTAGCCAAGTCTTTGTTCTTGATGTCTTTCAAATAATTGATTGTCAGATGCAATGACTTGAGTAATAAATTATTTCAAAGATTTTGCTTTTGACATTGTTAATAACAAATTTTTGACACTATCTTTTAATCCATATTGAAATTGATTGATGGTTGCTTTGTCATTCCAGTCCACATTACAAGCAAGGTTTTAGAATTTAGCAAGATATGTGGTAGTTGATCGTGATCCTTGTTGTAAAGATAAGAGTTTGGTCTTTGCTACTCGTTCTCATAGCCCACTCTAAGATGTAAACTTTGTATTCTCCGATCCAATCAAGGAGGAGAGTATCTATCATCTGATTTTGTCCAATATTTAGAAGCCCGTGGCATACAATACCAACTCACCACTGCGTATACTCCACGTCAATACGGCTTTGTGGAAAGGAAAAATTGCATTCTTCTCAATACTACCCAGTGTCTCCTTCATGAATCCAAGTTATCAAAACCTTATTGGGTGAGGCAGTCACTTGTGCAACTTATTTGCAAAATCGCTGCCCCACAAAAGCAATTCCACCTGCTACAACTCCATTTGAACTTTGGCATAAACTAAAGCTTGACATTGCTCATCTTTGTGTATTTGGCAGTCATTGTTTTGCCAAAATTCCAGATCCTCTTTGGGTTAAACTTGATAATAAAACTCATGAGTGTATATTTCTGGCTTATAGCCCTTTTAGCAAAGGATACAAAGTACAACAAATCAGCAATGGTGCAATGATTACTTCACGTGACGTCTTGTTTAAGGAGGAGCTTGGTTCAGAATATTATTCTGTTCCACCAGCTTAGCGAGCCTAAGCCTTTGAGCTCCAAAAAGATCAAATAGCAGAAGCCAGGATGGAGAATGTGAAGAATGTGATGCCATTTAATACTCGGAAGAGGAGGAAGGAGGAAGGAGGGAGGGAGGAGCTTCTTGCTGCTGTGTAGTTCTATCAACTTGCATGAGCATGAATGAATTAAATTATGTTTCGATTCGGCGCTTGTTTTGTGACTTGCTGTTCACGGTGCATGCAACTCTTCATCAGATTCTGAGCTGAAACCTGGCAAGAATATGGATCATGCATTCATCATGTGCAAACAGATGCGAATGTAAGCAGGAGAAGACCTTGTTATGTTAAAAATAGCAACAGAACACGAAGAAGTGGGTGCTCCTCTCCCTTGGCTTTACAGCGCTCTCTGATCTTGCTGTGTGCTATGGGCTGTGCTTGGGCTTGAATCTTTCCTGGTGGGATGCCGTGTTTCCTGTTTGAATAGTACCTGGTGGCTTCGTGGGCAGTATGTGCTGGTACTCCGGGCATCGCACCACATCTGCCTACTCGTGGTGGGGTGAGCCAAAGTATATCCGGTACAACAGCGCAAGGAGGAAGCACTTGGTGACTAGCTGTCTGAATCATGGCACGAATGCTGGGCTCGACTCAATCACGGCAGCTTCTATTATGGATCGCCAAGTTTGGACGCACACCCAACAAATCGGCTAGTCACTAGCGTCACCAGTTTCTACTGCAGGACCTTCATTCCGATTCGTCTGCAGGCTACGGTGTGCACGGAGAGGTTAACTGACAATGGTTATCTGCAACACTGCACCTTATGTTGTCACTGGGCTGTCAAATCATTAAATGAGTTTCGAGACAGCATGTGTTTCCAGAGTCGACAAAGCCGACGGTAATACCCGAAGGATGGTTTTAAAATGTGGATGCGTTAAACTGTGTGGTGTTCCGTTCAAAATTTATTAGTTATGAATATGCTGAGGAGTTAGAGGTGTACACACGGATAGTCTCGGTGAGTGATTGAAGGTAGTTATGGTTCACTTTTTCAAGATGTAAAACTTCTACGCTAGCTACGTACAGTGACAATGTTCTGAGGATGTTTGTCCTCGGAGATGGGTCGGATTACTAAAATAAAACATAATTTGAGAGAAAAGAGTAGGTTCGGTTTCGGGTCAGTCGAAATGATCAAAAAAAATGATGTGCGTTTTTATTGAGCGATCAGTCAAAGGAACAGACCTGGCTACGAATTTACAATCTCAACTCCATGATCTCTCTACACAGTTAATCCATGCATCCTCCCGATGTCCAGCGGGGTTACGAGTGATTTAGCTGGAGGTCAACTACAGGGATCAGAGGAATAGAGACAACCATGATGACAGGTACATCCGCACAAACTCTCCCACAGCGGAAGGGATGATCATATTCTACACTGTGAATGCTCCAACCAGCTTCCACAACCAATGAAAAAGGCGATCTAGCTCTCGCTAAACTACAGGCTTGAAATGCAGAGAAGATTCTTGAATAACTCAATGGGTGCAGAGAAGAAAACTGTATGGTCCCCGTTGGGCATGCAGAAGAGCTTCTCGGGTGGATTGTTGGCTATGATTTCATCCTGATCAGATGGAGGGACACCTTTGTCCTTCCCTGTTCGGATGTAGAATCTCCTTACGGTTCCATACTTAGCCGGAGTCAGGGGGAGAGTTTCAGTGCCCGGGGTGAATGGCGTATCAGTCATCACCTCTCTCCCCAAGTTCACGTACTGTCCACATACACCACAATGTGGTAATGAAGTGTCGGCGACGATGAAAATAACAGAATTTTGAAAGCCAAGACGGATACAAGAATCAAGAGAAGATGCATATGCCAGTCACTTACCCGTGTCGGTGTCCCGCTCATGTAGAACTCATTCAGCTTGGCCTTATTTAGTGATGCAGATGAGGGATTGGAGGGACCATTTCGGTAATTAAACGTAACATAACCCGCGTTTAGGAGGTTGGGGAAGGTCTGCAGGATGGTCCAACGGCAGTCAGAATTTCAATCCATCCACACCCTACTTCTCAGGACTCTAGGACTTGATCACAATGAGAAGTTAGTCGGAATGCTTCAACTCCTAGTCATAGAAGTGAGATTCATGGCCGGATGACTTACATTAGCGGGGAATGCACTGAACATGCTTTGATTGTATGTGGGCATGCATGATGAAAGGTAGATGGCTTTAGCAACTTTATTCGGGCACAACTCCGAGGCATAGGCAATTGACCCTCCACCAAGACTGTGACCAACTAGAATAACCTGTCACATTGTCCAGAAAGCACCTCTTAGTCTGAATGAGGATCGTACAGTCGGTGGCTTAGTTCAACGATTGTTTAATTTCAGTTGGAGCATCAGCGGGGTAACCATGTGAAGTCATGATCACACGCATGAATCTACAACCTCGCTCTCAGGAAACTTGAACAAAACAGTAAAACATGCCATTAGTAGGGGTTACTCAGAAAACTCACTTTACCAGAAACATTGTTTATTGCGTCAATCAATGGCTGAGTGTATTCGGCAACCGTGATGACGTTATCAGCAATGGCTTTGTTAATACCGTGAGACGTCAGATCCACTGCTGTTGCACTCTGATTGAAGTGCTCCATAAGAGTCTGAATTTCATACCAGAACCAGGCCCCGCCCCCCATTCCATGCACAAATATGAAGTGCTGGGGTGAATAGCTCGATACCTGCGCAGAAGAAGAACAATGCACACATTTCAGGTCCTGGTAGTCTCTAAGGTTGATACGCTCAAGTCAGGACTTAAGAGTCAGCAGATACTCATCCAATTCTATTCCCAGTGGCTCTTTAAATGTCATGGCAGTTCATCTGTGTAACCCCCACAATGAGATCTTCAAAAACATGGAGTATACTTACATCCGAGCTACATAATGTGGCAGCGTCGCTGCAGTTCATGGCCGCAGACATCTGAAAGCATACCGTCAATGCCAGTACGGCCAGAGCCCATCTAGACCGGACGAACTGGGTTCGTGCCATTTCTGAACGAAGCTTTAATCCTGCTCCCACCTGACATATCCCAGATTTTACAGTAAACATAATTTAAGTCAAGGTCTGATGCGTGAATGAACAATGATTAGGACAGACAGCGCTGAATAGCATGGCTTTCTACTAACTAATAAGCAAATACGAAAACATCGCTGTCTTCAACCACTGAAAGCCGTTCAGGAATGAGTAGACGTGAGAAAATCCCTACGAAAGCGCTCAACCCAGACAGAATCCCAGAGCACCCTCAATGTAGGAAAACCAAGCAGCAAGCTGACGTGCTTTAAGTGATTCCGCAATACAACAAACAGTGTGCATAGTTGTAAGAGGCTCTTGTAGTACTTATCCCGTACACTCCCTCGTGATACATTTTCTGAATACCCCACATCCTCCCGGCATACCCTCCCTCTACCTAACAGTGCCTCAGCCAGGGGGATTAGAGTTACAATCGGGATGGTTACCCATGAAGCAATTAGACGTGTTCAACTGTCGGAGATAATACTGTTCTCACTGGCTATATAGCAGGTTAAGGTAACAACCAGGGATGGAGATTAGATTGGACACCTACACGAATCGAGGTGCACAGTGCAGTTGTCCCCCTCTCACCACCGAACATAATTCTATCTAAACCTCAAGAATAAAATATAGTCACTGGCTTCATGCGTATGGACACAAGTCAAAGAGAGAGGAATCACTCAGATCCGATGGAACCTCAACAGTCTCTTTAGCGGTCCAAAGTAGGATCGGATACAGGTATCCCACAAACAATCCCTCAGTTGAATTTGGTTCATAAGTAGGTCCTGTAAACCAGAATTTCTGCCGCTGAACGTCGACAAAAGATCTGAAATGCCACACACTATCATGATTTGGGACGCACATACCTATTCAGGAGTAGCAGCTGGAGAAGGTCCGCTAATCAATATGCTTAAGAGAGAAAAATTCTCGCCCAACCGTTTGAAACCACAACGCAGATTGGAGGAGAACGACGACAAGGAAACCCGGAATCGAATCACTCTGTATTCAAGCGCTTTTATGTCAATGCCAAGAGTGAGTCTGCTGAAGGGATACCTGGGACCCAGCAACTTTTAACCCAGTTTATAATATAGCAGAATTCAAAAAAGGATCACACAATGCATACAAAAGGCCACTTTCTCATGAGGTCGTGGGGTCCTGACCGCTTTAAAAACAAATTGTCATGATGCGCTCTCCCCTAGGTAAACGGAGAAAATGTAGGGGCAACTTTAATCAAATCATTAACTTAATCCTCAGCTACCACTGGGGGCATAGCAAGTTGATGTGGCTAGGTAACAATTAAATTTTCCAAAAATCGACAGCTGCCTAATTAGCCCCAGTTGCACTACAATCTGTTTCAACAAGCACAGACAATCGCTTTCCTTGTCCTAGGCGAATGAATCCAGTATTTTCTAGACGCCGTTCCTTTTAATCCCTGTCATCCTATTCATCGCAGAATCTCCATTTTACGAAGTGGGATGGCAGTTTCCCCATATGTTGTAAAATATATTCCCTCACTGGAATCGGTGAAACTTTAGTCTCAGAACATGTGTTAATTTTCGATTCGGACTGCTCCTTTGAATAACCACTCGATTCAGTTGCAATAGACAATGTCACAACCAGAGGAATCCAGCATTTCTGTTGAATATCCCATGTTATAGGTACCAAAAGCTATGACTTATCCAACTCTTAACTAAGACATTGAAAGTGCCCTCCCCTTGGCACATTTCCTTGACACATTTCTTTTACAACAAATGATGTCCATCTTGCTTCCATAACACATCCAATTTTTGTAATATGATAGCAAAGTTTGGATGAAAAGTATTATGGATGAATATCATTGGATAGAATCTAAATGTAAAATGGATGTCTTTTGTGGAGGAAAACTTGGACAATTTGTCTATTGCTAGAACTCCATTGCCACTAGAATGCTATTGAAGCCAAAGAGTTGCTGGAGCTGTAGAAACCCTACTGGAGCTTTACTAGAGCTGTTAGAGCCCTATTGGAGTTGCTAAAGGTGGAGTTTAATTCTATTAATGTTGATTTTTATTTAATAAAATTCCATTTTTTTTTAGTGGTGAAAATAAGTTTTTTTTTGTTCCAATAGTAGCTCAGTACTACTATTACTTCCCAAATATTATATTTTGTAGATCATTTGTTAATTTTTCTCTTATAATTATTTATTTCTATTGCATTAATTATATTTAATAATGGTATCTTTAATGGATCATTTCATTGATTGAGTAGATAAAAAAACTATGGCACATGGGCATTTGTTATGAAATAATTAATATGTATTTGCAAGCTCTATATGCATGTGGATAGGATATTAAAATGTCCTATGGATATTGATGAAAAATCAAAATAGAAATCAAGCAAAGTACAAGCACAAGCATTGATTATACTCAATGTTAAGCCTTTGTAATTATCTCATATACGTAAATATAATACTACAAAAGAGATGTGGGACATATTGGCTAAGTTCCACAAGCCCTCAAGAGTAATTATTGAGATATTTTTAATAAAGAAATTATATAATCTTTGATATATGGATGGAGAATCTATAGAGATTTTTTTTATAGAGATTTTTGATCTTAAGGGTTGAAGCCAGTGGTGAAATGGACAAATAAAGCATAGCATTTTTTTATACTTATCATATTATCAAAATCTTGGTATCCATTTATTTACTTGATTGCATTGAAGAAAAGATAAGAGATCATGGAAGAGGTAGTCCAATCTATTCACCTTGAAGAAGACATGTAAATGAAAGAAAAGATTAATTCTCCATTTTTTGCTTTAGCAGTGTATGTAAGGAGAAAGCAAATCTTAATGAAGTACCATCTACAACAAAAACAAAAGCTTAAGATTGATAAGTCTAAAAGTACTTATAAGGCTTGTAGACAAAAAAAACATCGGCCAAGTCATGCCAAATGTCCAAAAACAAATAGCAATGGTATAATAAATGCTAAAATTATTGTTATTCTTTCAGCTTGAGAGGCATCATTGAATTCAAAAATAATGATTTTATTGTTGTGGTTATGAAGGATGTCTATTAGATTTTTGAAGAATATGATATTTTATTATTAGCTACAACTTTATGCAAGAAAAGTTACAAATTTAATTAAAATGCCAATAGAGTTGATTGAATTCTACTTTTAGATGACTTACTCACATTAGGTATACTAGCTAATAAAGCTTACTTTATACCTTATAAAATTGAAGAAGTTGCTACAATTTGTAGTTCATCTATTTCAAGTCATATACTTGTTGAATACATCAAGTATTAGCACATATTTCAATGCATACAATACAAAAAGTAAAGCAGATGAATTGTGATCAAATATTAAAGATCAAAGAAGAAAAGGATAAAATACCTACATGTGAATCATGCATTATTGGCAAGGCCCATAGGCAACCTTTCTTATATGAACATAAATATGTTAATGATATTTTAGATATAATAGTGTGTGACTTTGGTTATTTTGATACAACTAACATTGGTGGCACCAAATGATTAGTTATATGGATTGATAATTATTCTAACTATTGTAGCCTTGTATTTCTTCAAATTAAGAACCAAGTACATATTGCTTATAAGATTTGAAAAGTTAATACATAAAGAAGAATTGTAAGAAAAGTAAAAACTTTACTCACTAATCAAGGGACTAAATTCTTGACTAATAAGCTTGGTTTTCACTTTAAAATTGAAGGCATTTAGCATATGATCACTCTTGCATATATATATAAAATTATTGGTATGGCAGAGCATAAGATTTGAACTATTTTTGAAAGAATACAAATTCTTCTAGATGATGCAAAGTTCAATCATCAATATTGGATATTTGCAGTAAAATTTGTGACTTGGAATTGCAATTGCCTTTGACTTGCAATACTTGGTAGTAAGATACTACATAAATATTTTTACAATAAAAAACCTTCTCTTCAAAATATTCATTTCTTTTGTTTTCCTACTTGATATTACATACCAAAAGAAAAACATCAAAAATTCAATACAAAGGCAAGGAAGGGTATTTTTGTTAGATATTTAGAAGTAGCAAAAGGATATGAATTTTTTCTACATGAAAAAATGAAGATGATCTTTAGTTAAAATGTGATTTTTCTTGATAATAATAATGAGTTATTTAGTGAGCTATTGACTTTCAAGGACATAAATTGAAAGAAGATGCATAAACCTATAAAATCCATATCAAAAGAAAAACAACAAAATAGAAATAAAGAAGTATGTATATTAAAAGAAAAATTGAAATGGCTATTGCCAAAAGACAAAGAGACTAGAGACTCTTGAATGTAGACTAGAAGGAAGAAAAGAATTGACAATAGTGAAGAAGGCTTCATTCTTGCCTTTGTATATACTATCTATCTAAGATCTATGTAGTAATATTCTATAGGACCTCTAAAAACGTGTTGACTTTATATGACATGTATCTTGACTAACAAGGCAAGTTTTTTATATGGGTGCCACATAATTAGCTTCTTTTGCAAGCTACCAACATAAATGGCACATGGGTAGCTTTTTTATTAAGTTTTTAACTTACCAATCAACTACAAATACATGTAAAGTCAAAACAACATTTAGAAAGCTTCTAGAAAGCTTCTCTAGAAGGTATTATGAAATTAATCTACTTTTATTTACTTCTACCTATTTAAATTATCTAGATAATAATTATAGTAGATATATATCCATGACATTGATTCCTTAAGAAAAAATTATAAAGCATATAGATCATAGAAATAATCTTGATTTGTAAAAAAATTAACATCCAAGTGAAATAGAAATATTTCAATGTAAAGCCTTAAGATTACATATGTATGATGGATTGGATGGAGAAATTATTGAAGACAAAGAAAATCCTACAATAAAAGAAGTAGTGGAATTCTATCAACCAGAAATAAAAGTAACTACTCAAGCTTTACTACTAAGACATCATTGTGTATGTAGCATTGATTTGGTAAATATTATAAGTGGTAATATTATGCATTGCATAATTTAGGAAAAAGACAACAATTTTATTTAAAGAAATTATGACTTGCTGATTGAAATAGTAGATGTGATTAATATTAATGAATATGCAAAACTAGATATTGTTGAGCAAGCTATGAATTTATCTTTTTGCAAAGAGTGGAATCGTATTATGAAGAAAAAACTTGATTATTTGAAAAATCATGATACATAGAAATTTTCATTTTTATCCAATGGTAAGAAGGTTATGGATTCAAAATCAGTTTTAAAGAAAAAACTTGCTAACAATGGTTCTATTGAATATTTTAAAGCACAATTGATTGCAAAGAATTTAACTCAAGTAAAAGGTCTTAATTACTAAAAAACTTTTGTATTAATTGCTTGCTTTGTAAAAAAAATTATATTTATTGCAATTACTATTATCTTTAATTGAAATATGTTACAAGTTGATGTTGTTTTAGCTTATTTAAATGACAAACTTAAAAGAAAAAATATTTATATGAAAATTCGAAAAGATTTGGAAGTTCTATGAGAATACAAAGATAAGATATTGCAATTGCTAAAGACTTTATATGATTTGAAGTAATTTGGACATTGATAGAATAAAAAAATTTCATAAATCTTTATTAAAACTTAATTGAGAGCGCTCAAAATCAAATCCTTATTTATACACAATATATATTGAAGAACTAGTTTTTATATTGATTATCTATATCAATGACATACTTATTTATGTTAAGAACTTTGAGATCTCTATGAAATGCAAAGATAAATTATAAGAGTGTTATAAGATGAAAGGCCTTAGTGAACCTAATGATGATTTTTGCATTGATTTTTTGAAAGATAAGAAAAATGATACTATTAGTTTGAGCGAAACTAAGTACATTTGTTCAAAGTTGGAAGAATTTGGGATAAAAGATACAAAGGTAGTTGCAACATCAATAGTACATAGTCATGTCATTAAACATGAGAATGATGATCTTTTGGATGCAAAAGGTCTAAAGCTTTATCAAAAAGCTTTAGGTTTATTATTGTACCTTGCAAATGGTATTAGGTATGAGATTTCAATATCTTATCAATACTTTGTTCAATACATAGTAGATCCATATGTTTTGTATTAGCAAAGAATCAAATAAATATTTTATTACTTGTAAAGAACAAAATATTTGGTATTGTACTATAGAAGAAAGGAAGCAAATTTGCAACTTGTAGGCTATAGTGATACAAATGGAATAAATTGTGTGGAGACACACCATTCAGTAGGAAGTTATGCATTTATATTATATAAGGTAATTATCACTTGACCAAGGAAGAAGCAATCTTTAGTTTCTATTTTGTCAATGGAGTTAAAATATGTAGCTTTGGCTAGTGCACCAATGAAGACTTTATGACTCCATAAAGTACTTAGGAATTATGATATTCTTAAGTCAAAAAAGTTTTTCATTTATGAGAATAAGTAAAATGCCATTGTTATTGCCAAAAATCTAGTACACCATGGTTGTACAAAGTATTGGGATACAAAATGTTACTTTATTTAAGAATATATGGAGAAAGGAGAACTTGGTTTGGAGTATTGTCCTATGGAGTAGATAGCAACAAACATCTTCATAAAACCTTCCTCTACAAATAAGTTTCTAGCTTTTAAAAATATATTAGGTCTTATTTCAGTAGAGAATTAAGTCCCTCTTTTGGAAGAAGAGTGTTGAATATCCCATATTATATGTACCAAAATGTTGTGACTTATCTAGCGCTTAACTAAAACAATGGAAGTGCCCTCCCCTTGGCCTGGAGCACATTTTGTTTGCAACAAATGAAGTCCATCCTGCTTTCATACCACATCCAGTTTTTGTAAAAATTTCAAACCCCTTACTTTCATCAGCTCCTGATCTACGTTCACTCAATTACTTGTGATTCTTGGGAAATTTATAATTATATAAACATATATATTAGTTTTTCTGAAACATTAGAGAAGAGAAAGATTTCGGTGATTAGCAACCCCGATGCTATTTGCATCAAGATATTCCTCGCGTATGTAAATATGGCATGACCATTACCATCACTGCATCGCACCAAAAAGTAGTTAATGTTTCCTAAAATTAATCATGGGGTCTCCAAAGTTTCTTTAGTGCTTTTGAAAAGTGATTCTGTCTGTGCTCCTATATTCCGTGGGTGCCGACTTGGAGGTCTTTTGGGTCATTACCAACGTAGTCTTCAATGTGGCCTTCGAGCATGCGCTGTGATCCCATTAACGTCTCCACCAGCGACTTTTCTGACGAGTTGGTCGCATCTACAGTTCCTGGTGGCGCTACAAACTGCGGAAACAACCTTTGGATCTGGAAAAAGCATCCTTGCTTTGGCTCTGTTCTTAACTCCAGTTTTTGCTCACATCGTTCATCATAAATGGTGTTTTATTCGTCAGGATGGTCAACTGCTGTCTGATGGGGATGACTTTAGTAATCACCACGAGCAGCTGCACTGGTTTTGTGTATTGCATGAACAGGCTTCAAACGATTGAGACCCACAATGATTCCGTAAAAATTCTCAGCGACGTAAATTTATACAAAGCACTGATGGATATGATCCAAACGATGATTCTTTTCTCTTCCCCTTCCACCATAATATCGAGTAAAATATGATATAACATGACACAATGAGGTCGAGTGGTTACCTTTCGATGAATCCTAGATGACGCATCCCAATCGCCGGAGTACAGTGGACGCACGGATACTTTCATCAAATATACTTTCTATCGACTTCGAAAGTGACAGCCCGGAAACACCAAATGATTCCTAAAGGTTTTTAGCGTATCTGGCTAGAAAAGAACTGAAGATTATTAACTTTTCTCCCCTCTGTATTTGTGAAAGGCGGTAACTGGCCCGCCGGCGATGGTGTCGAGCGGTGTGGCTACTGTAGGTGTATTATTATCCATAGCTTTCTTATTCAGGGGCACTTCTATCACCTTAGATTTCACCATCTGCACGAATTGCCTTATCGCATGGAATGGATCTACTCAACCAAGGTCCATCTCCACATGTTTCTTAACCGCTGCATCCAAACATAACCTTTTGATCTTTATTCAGTAATCCCAAACATGCAAAGGACCATGTGGAGATTAGATGCTAACCTCATCCAGTACGGCAACTTTATGCACAATCCCATCTTTGGACTCATCTCTAAATTGGAGATTATGTGGTGTTCGAGATTAATCGGGTGGATGCGCCTGGAAAGCACAACTACTGTCTGAATTGTCCAATGTGCCGCAAGCGCGAAATCACATGTGCCCTCAAACGCGTACTTGCGTATCGAGCTTTCATCTTCGACGTCAGAAGGTGTTTATCCATAGCACTGGAGAGATCGAAAGGGCGTGATGAAGCTCCGGAGTCGTCTACTCAACAGAGCTGCTCAGACCTCCGTCGCGGACTGGTAGTCAATCACGCTTGAGTAAGTTCCAAGTTCAATTCTTTGTTGTTTATACATACATGGTGCATAGTTTATCAACAAACTTCCAAAATTGGGAGGCTGTGATATAGCTGTGAGTGGAATAGTAAGTTGAAGAACCTGGTTATTTTAAGGAAGTTTGGGTTAGGATTAGGGTTTAGTGGGTTGAGGCTGTTTTTGTGCTTGCAGAATGGCTGGGTTTTATTTGTACGCAGATTCCGTGAAATCAAGGATTGCACACGCCCTTGTAGCGCCTTCCCTATCGGAGGACAATCAGGAGTTTGATCGGACCTGAACTGTGGACTCCATTGAACTTGAATATATAGATTGCGAGTGGGCTAGGGATCTTGCTAGGTAGTGATAATTGTAATGTTGTAAGCTCGGATCAACGGTTTTGTATTTGTCAATGGAGGCGGTTGTTAGCTAGGGCACGCTCTTACTAGTAATCAATGAAGCATTGAAGGAGGCGTCTATTACTAAGATTGATTACTGTAATTTGCTGATTCATTGCTGTTTCTGTTTAATCACAAATCACTTGATTGAAGAATGTACTAGTACAAGAAGTACAAAGGAAAATGGTAGAAGGGAATACATTGCAAGGATGCCTCTATGGCCAGGGGCTTTGGACTCCCCTTGTTCACAAGCACTATCGTCTACCAACTATAGGAATCAAGATGCTGAGCTCCTTGCCCTTCCTCCTCCCTTCTCTTCCATTTCCTCCCCCTTGGTTGGGCAGAATCCTACTATCTTAGTGGGATTGTCTGGATCTTCAATGAGAAGACAAAAGAATGACACCAAAAGTAGAAGAGACTCATACTTACTTTATAGGGGCATAAATAATCCAAATCAAGATAAATGAGATAAATAATTAATATAGGCATCTTTAGGAAAGAGTTAAGAATAGGTTTTAGAAAAAAAAAAATTACCTCAAAATATCAAGAATTGTTATTTGGAGAGGATCAATTGTGAATCGAGGTCAAAATCAAACTCTAAGGCACAAAACTACACATCCATGGTGACTCCAAGGTTCTTTTGTCAATTAGAGAGTTTGAAAGGAGACTTGTAAGATGATTTTTGAAAGTTAATTTCATATGATTTGAAGGTATATTGAAGATTTGAGAGCTTTTCAAAGAAAGAAGTATATTCAATGGATTAGGATTTTAAGAAATAAAAATTAGTTCACAAATTTAATGATTTTGTGAGTGTTGTAATATATTTACAAGTGAAAATTTTTCAATTTGTTATTATGCTTGTTGTAAATGTGTGAGAAATTTAATATCAATCAAATGGTTAGATTGAAGGTTATGAGTATTTTAGTGGATTATAATATTGGATAATTAAAATTTAGGATCAATGAGAAATTTTGTGTTTTGGCAATATCTACCAACATCCATTAGTTTGATTGAAGTAAAATATGGTGAGAGAAATTGAAACGTAAATACTTACCTATTGAAAAAGTTTTGAAGCATTTTAATGGTTAAATAAGGAAAAACTATTACTAGAAGATCAATATTCAAGTTTAAAAAAGATGGTGGCTGCCATAGAGATACATATATATTCCAATTGTTTTCTATATGATTAAGTAGAAATAGATAAAAATAAATTAATTTCATAATATCTTCAAAAATAGTTACATAGAAGCTTCATATATGTTGTTTTGACTTTAGAAAAGTTTATAGATTAGAAACTTGATCAACAAGTTAGTCATGTGTCATGGAGATACATATTTACTCCAATTAGTATCTATATGATTAAATAGAAGTAAGTGAAAGTAGATTAATTTCATAATATTTTCTAAAGAAGCTTCTTAAAAGCTTCATAGATGCTACTTTTACTTTACATGTGTTTGTAGGTTAAAAACTTGATTAATAACTTAATCATGTATTATATGTATTGATAACTTGTGGAATAAGCTAATTAAGTGGTGCACATATAAAAAAATTGCCTTACAAATTAAGGCATGTATTTAACATCTCAATACGTCTTAGAAGTCCTATAGAATATTGCCACGTAGATCCTAGTTAAATAGTATATATAGAGGCAAGAATGAAGCCTTCTTTGCTCTTATTAATGCCTTTTTAGTCTTTAATCTTGTTTCAAGACTTTCTAATCGTCTTGTGTTTGGCAATAGCCATTCTAATTCAATATATTACCATATTTGAGTGACTTTCTAATTTTTTTAAGTAATACAAAAGTATATTGAGTTTTCTTTCCTTGAGGTTTATATCCAACATTGACAACAGCCAATATTCAAGAGATTTTGAGAGCTTTTCTTTCAATTAAAAAGATTGATTTTCTTTATATTTTGTATGCTTATTAATTGCTTGTAGTGTGAGTAAACATTTAATTAATATCAACGATTTGATTCATATTTTTTGATGTTTTAGAAGAGCTAAATTAATTGATTAAGATTTACTTAGAATTTACTTGGATTTGTTTAAAATTAGATTAGAATTTGATGTAAGACTTAGGATTTTATTAAAATTTTGTTAAGATTTGTTTAGAATTTGTTTAGAATTTATTGAGAGTTATATCAGGGTTTGATTTAGATTCAATTAATATTTCTATTTTTAGTATTTTAAAATTTTTCTTTTATATTTTTTTAAGATTGTTTTTATTATAAATATATTTTTTAAGGTTAATTTATGATTTCTGTATGTTTTTTTTTGTAAGTTCTTTTGAAGATTTATTAACGATTGACTAACATTGTTATGATTTAATTTGAGTTTGTTTAGGATTCTATTAGAGTTGTGAGGATCTTCTTGTTGCAAGTTCTATTTTAACTCCCACAACCAAGTGCCCAATGGATTCTCAAGCAAACAACAAGAAATACAACAACTGAGTTTCAATTGAAACTTCAAATTAATATTAATAGAGATAACATGTATATCTTCTTATAATCTTATATGGAGCCTCTGTGCCTAAGACACCTGCTAGAGCAGAGGAAGGTCTTGCTGTGCATCTGCAATTTTACCAGTGATTGAATGGAATGGATATATTGGAATCTATTTGGATTTTTTTCACTCCACAACCCTAGCGACTCACTGATCAGCAGCTTCTTTGACAACAAATGTATGTTTTGTCCTTCAGACAGCAGGATGTCCTCCTTTAAAGACGCAAAACACCTCGGGGAGGTATTAGTGCCAGTCTAAGGAATATTCAACTCCCCTCCTCTCTCTTTAGTGAAGATTACCATATATACTCAAAACGAGCAGGGTCTAAACGACCCTGATAAAGTTGAGATCATTAAAAGATACTACCAGCCGTTGTTTTAAAAGATAGACGTATTTTTTTTTTAAGAACAGTAGTTGCGGGATAAGAGACTACTAAATTTGAAATTTTTCTTTTGGCATTGAGCGGGTTTCTTTGGGAGAGAGGCTTCAGCGGGGTATAGACATAATAGCGACAACGTGAGGGGTGGTTGAGGGGGCATATGCTTGTGGGTGGCTCCTCGCCTTCAATACCTCGTGGCCGGGTCGGGCCACTCTCGCTGCAAGTGTGCATCTGGATACGACTAGGAGCAACTCCAGGGGGTGTTGTCTCCGTACTGAACTACTACACTGCAACTTCACTAGCATATAGTTGCGCTCTTTGAAAAGAATTGGTGGTTACGTTGCCCTACGGCTATCGCTAGGTCTTGTATGGTGATTGGAACTTCGTCACACGACGCAGCAACAAGTCCTCCTTGTGTGAAAAGTTAGTAACAAAGCGGGAGAAGTCAAGCTTTCTTGCTCTTCTTGAAGCCTTGCGAGTCGAAGACAATTTTCTAGATTTGAATGTAATTCGATTTTCATGGGACAACCGGCGGCAAGGTGGAGCTCGGGTAATGGCAAGATTAGATAGGTTTTACACATTTAGGCCTAATATGGTAGGAGACACTCCCATAGTGGAATATGTGATCTGGGGCGATTGTGCGCACGCAGATCACTTTTCAGTGTGTTGCATGTTCTAGTTTGCGCCTTTGACCCGTCGCCACTCTGCCTTTAAAATGAGTTCTTTGTACCTTATTTATTAGGTAGTGAAGTAGAAGGTGACCCAGATCTAGACTGATCACTCAAGCGATGGGTTTTTGTGGAAGTTAAGAAGGGTCATCAAATATCACAACGGCTATTGCGTGTAGAGGGCACAACAGTTTTGTCGCGAGCAAATCCATTGGAGGTCGCGCATGACACAAACTATTGCGGACCTCCAAGTAGGCCCTCTTGATACTACATTGCAAGGGAGACTTGGTGCTGCGGCGGGTGGGCTCCAATAGTTTGGGACACAGAAGGTCCAAGGGTACAAAATTAGAAGTCAAGTTAAGTGGAAAACTGTCGAGGGTGTCAGCTCAAAAGAATTCTTCCAAGCTAACAAGGATTGGGCAGGGGCGTTGTCCATTATGGCTTTGACAGATGAGAGTGGGTCCCTGGTTTTGGATCAGACATGGCTAGAGGTTTTATGCGCCAAGTTCTACGCTGACTTTTATATAATATCTACTATCTCGGCGGAACCTACTCAACTTTTGGAGCTTTGCCTGGATTGTGTGAGTATAAAGCTTACATCCTAGATGATCTTCCTGCTTTAGGCTCCCATTACCATACTCGAATTAGAGGCTGCTATCCTTAAAATGGCCCCAAGGAAAGCCCCAGGCCTAGATGGAGTCATTACAAATTTTTATTAAGTTTTTTGGAAGTTGACTAAAGCTGATTACCTAGTGATGATCTTGACAATAGTATGAAACCAGCTATTTCTACGTATGATAACTCGTGGTTTCATCTCCATGATGTTCAAGAGTGGTGTGCAGGAGCAACTCACAAATTGGTGCCCCATCACCCTTCTTAATGTGGCATATAAATTCTTTGCAAAGGTACTACAAATTTGTCTCCAGCTAGTTCTTATGGAGGTTATCTCCCATGATTAGTCAGCTTTCCTACCTATGAGGTTCATCTTAGACTATATTCTGCTTATGATGAAACAATGGAGTGGGCGGCTTACTCAAAGCAGCCTCTTATGTTCCTTAAGCTTGATTTTTCAGAAGTCTATGGTATAGTGGATTGGGCCTTCCTTTTTCAAGCAATGGAAAAACTTGGCTTCCTTCTCAAGTTTGTAGCCATGGTTAGATTACTATTTACTGATGCTTTTGTAAGCATAAAAGTTAATGGCTTCCAATGCTCTTCCTTTGCTATTTGAAGAGGAATGTGCCAAGGCTGCCCATTAGTTCCTTATTTATTTCTCATTGTTACTGAAGTATTCAAATGTATGGTGAAAAATGGAGTAGAAAAAGGATTTGTTAAGGATATAACCCTCTCCATTAAAAATAGACAATAAATAATTATCCAATACATGGATGACACTTCTTTCACTCTTAAAGGAGTAGAAAAAGAAGTGAGGAATCTAATGCAATCATTGAACTCCTTCTGTTGTGGCTTTGGACTTATACTCAATTAGCTCATATCATGTGGTTATTGGCATGAAGATGATCCCTGTCCCCTTTAAACAAGTAGTTTGGAGATCACTTGGATAGATGATTGAAGTATGAGCAAGCTCTTAGACACCCCTTTTGGTTTG